AAAATAATAGTTACTTCAGTTGGGTTAGGGGGGAGTTGGTATGGACTCGAAGGAGAGAGGCATCTGGAGAATTTGAAATATTCTACACTTCAATATGGACTGTGAATTTATGTAAAACTTACTCAGATGCACAATTAAGATTTCTGCCCTTTCCTTGGCACTACTTTTACCACAATTTAAAACAAAAAGACAAACCTAGATTCATTTAAATAAATGTGAGAAAGATTAAGAGTCACCAACTATTTATGGAACTCAACCTTATTAAGAAGTATAAATGTGACTGGGAATGTTCTAGAGACATAGAACACTGGTTGAGGAAAAGAAGGAAACATTGAACTGTGTGCCTTTACTCTTCAGGCAGCATAGATTTTAGCTCTCTGGGTTTTCCTTTGAACACAGACATTTTATATTACTCTGCTCCCCTGGGGGCCCCCACCCTCCCATTGGCTCTTACCCAGTGGCTGTAGCCACCAGGAGATTTGCATATTGTTCCCTAAGGGAGGACTAAGATACAAAGGCTCAGATAAAACCTTTGCAACTGAGATAAAAGACCAGCTGTCATCTTGGTCAGGACTCATCAAACAAACTTCCCCAAATGAGGTTCCCCTGTCAGCTCCTGGGGCTGCTGATGCTCTGGGTCCCAGGTAAGGACAGAGGGGAGATGAGAAAGCAGAGTGGGTCAGGGAGGTTCCCACTGCAGACACCCCTGCTCTCCATGTCTATTATGGCCAAGAGCTAGAAGCCTACGTCTTACCTCTGGGAAGGGGCATGTGATTTTTAGATCCCGGAGAGCAAGGAACATTTCAGAAAGAACAAAGATCCATGTTGTGGTAAGACTATGACATAGAGAAAAGGGGGTGAGGCAGGCAAATTTTAGACACGACTTGGTATGCTGCAAATCTTAGGTTATTTTTTGAAATTGGATATTTGGGGTTATTAATAAATATCACAAAGTGTGGTGTACCTGCATGGCACAGTCAGTTAAGCTTCTGCCTTTGGCTCAGGTCATGATCTCAGGGTCCTGGGATGGAGCCCCAAATCAGGCTCTCTGTTCAGAGGGGAGTCTGCTGCTCCCTCTCCCTCTGCCGCTGACCCCCACTCATGCTCTCTGTCATATAAATAAATAAAACCTTTTAAAAAAGTTACAAGAAAGTGATGTAGCCTGAAATAATTACCAAGTAAAATTTTGAAAATGACTCATAATGTTGGCATGTAATCTTACAATTCTCTCTTTACTTTAGGATCCAGCGGGGAGGTCATGCTGACTCAGACCCCACTCTCGCTGCTGGTCACCCCTGGAGAGCTGGCCTCCATCTCCTGCAAGGCCAGTCAGAGCCTCCTGCACAGCAATAGAAAATCCTATTTGAATTGGTTCCTGCAGAAGCCAAGGCCAGTTCCCACAGCCCCTGACCTATGAGGCTTCCAACCATTTCACTGGGGTCCCAGACAGGTTCAGTGGCAGTGGGTCGGGGACAGATTTCACCCTGAGAATCAGCAGGGTGGAGGCTGACGATGTGGGGCTTTATTACTGCAGGCAAAGTATGTATGTTCCTTATCCTCTAGTGAGTACAGTTATTTAGGAAGGTTGACCAACTTGGGTCACAGGGGTCTCAGAGCTCAGGAAATTACTCCAGTGACCTGCAGTTGGGGAAGCTCATTCTGGCTGGATGGCTTGATCTCAGTACTCATGCAAGGAGAAAGTCTTCCTTCTAATTAGAGATAAGTTCCAGGTGGGCCCATCAAGGAACAGGCCTCTGTGTGTTTCCAGGATTGGCGGAAACAGTGTGGGTTAGACTCTGTGTGCTGATAAAGTCTACGGGTCAAGGTATAAGAGTATCACATTGTTGGGGTGCCTCGGTGGCCCAGTCTGTTAAGCATCAGCTCTTGGTTCGGCTTAGTCATGATCTCAGGATTGTGATCTCAGGGTCATGACCTCAGGGTCATGAGGTCGAGCCCCACATAGAGGCTCTCTGCCCCTTCCACCCCACTCTCTCTGTCTCTCCCTCTCATAAACTCTGATTCCAGGAGAACAGATCAAATAGTTTCACCAAGACTATCTGGATCTCAGACAAATTACACATTAGCCTTCCATTTTACTGAACACAAACTAACATCCTCTGACAACTGAGGCAAATCTTCAGTAAAACCAACCTACATAAGTCCTTCCTCATTCAGTGATGATGGTCAAATATAGAGACTCACAGAGACTGCTCTGTGACTTTTGCTCAGTCAGCACAATCATAAAAGCTCATTAAAGGGGCACCTGGGTGGCTCAGTCAGTTAAGCATCCGCCTTCGTCTCAGGTCATGATCCCTGGACCCTGGGAGAGCGACCCAATTTGGGTTCCCTACTCAACGGAGAGCCTACTTGTTCCTCTCCCTCTCTCTCAGCCTTTCTCATCCACTCATGCTGTCTCAAATACAAAAGTAAAATCTTAAAAAAAAACTCAATATAGAACAATCATCCTAGCACTGTCAGGAAGATAACAGTTAAGATCCAGATTATAGGCATACCTTTCATGTTTCATTTCCAATCTCAGATACCACCAAAGAAATCATGAGGATGTAGTCTCCAGCCTCCCTTTCATTGTCTGCAGGTGAGAGGATAGCCCTTACCTGCAGAGTGAGTCAGTGTTGGTAACTAACTAGCCTGGTACCAATAGAATCCTGGGCAGACTTCCAGGGTCCTCATCCTTGGTGCAACCAGCAGGGCCATTGGCATCCCAGCCCAATTCAGTGCCAGTGGACCTAAATAGACTTTACTCTTTCCATAGGCAGCCTGGAATGGAAGATGCTCCAGTTTGCTCTGGTCAGCAAGGCTCCAGTGAGAACCACAGTGATCCAGTCTCCACCACAGACCTCACCGGCTTCATCTGCCTTCACTCAGAGAACAGCTGCTTCCTTCAGAAGCATGGAGACCCATCTTTTGCAGCTTTCTCTGTTCCATTTGCCACCTGAAAAAGGCGCTTGTTAGGATTAGCAACTTACTTCATTCAGGTCCTAGAGAATTGAGTGGGCTCTCAGACTCTCTTTTGCCTCCCCCCATGAAATGTCAGATATTAAAGAGAAGTGGAGGACACCATATACACTTGCATACAATTTACCAGGACGAAGCTGAGGCTCAGAAAGGGTCATAAATATCCCAAGTTCATGCAGAGAGTTAGTGGTGACTATATTGAGAGGAACCTCCTCTCCCATGTTCCCCAGGTACTTCCCATTTGACCTGAACAAGTGATGGCCTCTTCTGTGAAGGCCCAGTCCCTGACAAGAAAGTTCCTGAAATTGTCGCCAGGTCCCCTCAGAAGATATTTTCTCTCAATCATAGGAACGAGGTCTGGAGCCTGAAAATCTATTTTTGGCTGAGTTCTTTCATAGGATAAACACACATTTCTCCTGAGAACACTTCTTAAAAACAATTCTGAGAATTTTGTGGTTTCAGAGCAAAAGAGATGCAAATCATCTGAGTGTAGGTGAGGAGGTCCTATCTTATAAGTCCACATATGCCATCCACTTCTTTGTATAAGTCAAGTGGGTATAGGAAAGAGGAGAGTCTCTGAGTTTTTACAAAGTATGCATACACCTGGCTCAACTATATGTCCCTGTCCAGACAGGCTTACTTTGAACTTGTTAGCAAGGAAAGCTCCATGGACCCGTTATGTGAAGTGAATTTCCTTAGCAATAAGAATATGTTAAGGAAGGAGTCACCTAATTTCTATCCGAAAATCCAAAACCCACAGATCTCCCTCCTCTTTTCTTGGCAGTTGCTCAACTGAGACCTTGCCCATCCACTGAGCTCTCTTCAAACACCTCTGAACCCTCAAGACACTGGGAAAACTAGCTTCCCAGTGGGTGACCTGGAATCCAGATATCCTCAGTGTGGCTTTCCACATAAGACAGGCACTGGTTCCAACCAGAGAAGAGAACCCACCAGGAAGGTTCGGCAAAATAGACCTTTCTCTCTGGTACTGAAGGACGCTTAGCTATTGGGTTATTAGCATAGCAAGTTATCCAGCCCTTAAACTCATTCTCTTTTTAAAAAAGATCCTGGCACTGAGAAGCAAGAATGGGGCTCATTAAATAACTACAGATTAAGTAATGATCTTTTTAGTCACAAGATGAATAATATTCTACTGCTGGGATATTTAGCTAGAAGTCACATTTTTATCTGTGACTGTTAGAGAATAGTTTTCAAAAAGTTATATATCAATTATGAAAGAGTAAGTGAGAATACCAGAAGCAAGAGATTTTATGCAAGGATTTGGTCAAGGAAAAGTGCTGAAAGGTATTCTTTAGTCTCATAACAAAATTGAATCTATCCCTGTGTGCAGTGAGGAGATACCATGAAGGGACCATGAGGAACCATGGGTGGAAATATCTTCCCTGCTCCCCAAGGATGAGTAACAGCCTCACTGCTTGTCTCCTGAAACAATTCTCCCATTGTTGGTCATCGATTCATAAAGATTAGTAATAAAAATTCCTTAAGGTATTGGTGAATAAAGGTCCCGGGTCTAGAGATATGGATTTCCAAATGGTCTTGACTTTACATTAACTCTGGGAGGAGTTAATGCAAAGCTTTGCTGAGAAGTGAACTCTAGGTATGTGACTTCTTTTTTAGTCATTTCGAAGTTGTCCCATTGTCATTTCTTCCCCTTGTTTATGTTGAGGCTTTAACTAACCCTTCCTATTCCTGTTACTTCAAAATGAGAGGATTTTCTTTAAAAAAAAAAAAAAGACACAAAGATAGAAAAATCTTCATCAAAAAATGAAAAGTAACTACATCACAATTCTTAAGTCGCTGAACAACTACAGAGATCTTTGTGTGAGCTCAAGCAAATAGGAGAAGTTAAAAATCCAAATTAGTGTGAGAAGATCAGGCTGTATCTGAAAGATAGAGAGCTGACAGTTCTGGCAGTTGAAGGCTGGTTTTTCTTCATTGAAATGACTGAGCAGCCGCCTGGGGAGGTTTTTGTTTAGACCCAGAGCACCGTGGGAGGCGTCTCCTTACTCTGCTGGCAGTAATAGTTGGCAGCAATAGTTGGCAGCATCACCATCCTCCACGGGATCAATCGTGAGACTGAATTCAGTCCCAGACCCACTGCCACTGAACCGGGCCAGGACCCCAGACGCTTGACTGGATGCTTTATAAATCAGCATTCTCGGACGCTGTCCTGATTTTTGTTGATACCATGTAATATAGTGTGTAATGCCCAAAATGTCACCGACTTTCTGACTGGTCTTGCAAGAGATGGTGGCCCTCTGCTCTGGAGACACGGTCAAAGAGGCTGGAGACTGGGTCAGCACAATGTCCCCAGTGCAGCCTGGAATGAGAAACACAACAAATTTAACAAAGATACTGAGAGCATCCTAGTGGAGGCCCACAGCACTGATGACCTTGTAGTCAAAGTCATGGACAACACTCTGAGGAACCAGAAAATGGAAGGGAACTGGGCAATTGGAACCCCATGCCAAATGCTTGAATTCCAGCCACCAAAAACCCAGACACACTGAAAGCATCGAGGCCACATTGAGTTTAACCACCATTTCTCCGTGTGCCCCCCTCTCACCCGGAGCCCAGAGCAGCAGAATCCACAGGAGGGGAGTCCCGGACCCCATCTCAGAGAGCTGGACTAGAGACTGCTCCTCGGGGCCCTGACCAGCTGCCTTTAAGGATGTCGAGAGCAGCCTGGGGTTTTGTCTAATGACACAACATGCAAATCAGCTCAGAAGAGCTTGAGGTTGTGCCCAAAGCGGACACCTGCTCTCAGAACACCCTGTGGGACTTTGGGTCACCAGAAATTTCCAAGTATAGCTCAAGCATGTCCCAAGGGATTTGGGGACCAGTTTCTTGAATCCTTGCCTTCTAGTCTGTCTGAGATGCCATGTGGGGGAGTGCCCTGGGCTCTTCTACTGTGAGGATATAGGTTATTTCAGCAACAGTCTTAATCCCTAGAATTACCACAATAATGTATTTCAAGTTCTGATTATTGTCAGGAAGAGAAAGCTGCAGGATTATAAAAGAGTGAACCTGGGTGGCCTGGTTCCATGGGGAGAGGAAGTCGGCCCCACTCAGTAAAAGACCTTCATATGGAGAAGAGGAGTCAAGATGGCGGAGAAGTAGCAGGCTGAGACTACTTCAGGTAGCTGGAGATCAGCTAGATAGCTTATCTAAAGATTGCAAACACCTACAAATCCAACGGGAGATCGAAGAGAAGAAGAACAACAACTCTAGAAACAGAAAATCAACCACTTTCTGAAAGGTAGGACTGGCGGAGAAGTGAATCCAAAGCGACGGGAAGATAGACCGCGGGGGGAGGGGCCGGCTCCCGGCAAGCGGCGGAGCAACGGAGCACAAAATCAGGACTTTTAAAAGTCTGTTCCACTGAGGCACATCACTCCAGAGGCTTAACCGGGGTGAAGCCCAGGCGGGGTCAGCGCGGCCTCAGGTCCCGCAGGGTCACAGAAGGATCGGGGGTGTCTGAGTGTTGCAGAGCTTACAGGTATTAGAACGGGGAAGCCGGCTACAGAGACAGAGCCGAGGAGTGAGCTCTCAGCTCGGTGTTACCTTGAACCGGTCGCAGCCTCGGTCAGCTTGGAGCGCGGCCGGAGGCCAGGGTGACAGGAGTAATTGGGCACTGTTCTCTGAGGGCGCACTGAGGAGTGGGGCCCCGGGCTCTCGGCTCCTCGGGGCCAGAGACCAGGAGGCCGCCATCTTCATTCCCGCCCTCCGGAACTCTACGGAAAGCGCTCAGGGAACAAAAGCTCCCGAAAGCAAACCCGAGCGGATTACTCAGCCCGGCTCCGGGTAAGGGCGGTGCAACTCCGCCTGGGGCAAAGACGCTTGAAAATCACTACAACAGGCCCCTCCCCGAGAAGATCAACAACAAACCCAGCCAGGACCAAGTTCACCTACCAAGGAGTGCAG